CTAGAGAAGCCAGATTGAGATGGTTTGGACACGTGCAGAGGAGGGACAGTGGATACATTGGTAGAAGAATGTTAGAGATGGAGGTACCAGGTAGGAGAAAGAGAGGAAGGCAAAAGAGGAGATATATGGATGCAGTGAGGGAGGACATGCAGATAGTTGGAGTCAGAGTAGAAGATACAGAGAACAGGGAGAGATGGAGATCAAGAGCAAGCTACTGCTTGATGTTAACCAACTCTCTGACTTACTCTTGAAAACAGCAGTGTTTCAGTCACAGCACGTGTGTGTCACGGTGAGCCATCGACATGGCAGGAAGCAGGCAGGACCCAAATGCAGGACTGGTGCAGGTAGTTTATTTCAAAAATCAAAATTTACAAAAACTCACTTTCAAAGACCAGGACAAAAGCATTCACAGAGCCGAGCAGAGCTAAAAACACAAACAGGCTTGACCAGGAACTGACTTGACAACTAAGAGATACATCACTGACCAGCAACCATACAACACAATGAACCCACCAGGACAGAGTGAGGGAGAGAGGTATATATACAAAGAGCACCAGGTGACACAAGTGAGACTAATTACAGAGACAGGTGAGTGTGATAACACAGATTACTCCACACAGCAGACAGCAGGAACAGAAAACAGACAGGCCTGACAGTTTGAGCTTCTGCTCCCTCCCTCTATTGTAGCTGTTGATCTCTGGCTTAGACCTCTTGCGGACAGTCTCGACAATCTGGGCTGTTGCCTCAGGCTTTGGCACCACAGCCAACGCAGGGAAGAAGAAGATGTTTTTGTATGTGCATTGGTGGAACAGACTTCTTTCCAGTAGCCTGTGTTTTTGTTGTTGTTGTTCCTAGCATGTGCACACTTTAAAACAAAAGGACTGGGTCATAAAAATCTTGTAGAGAATTACAGTCTTGCTGTTTTATATGAGAATTAGATCACAGATGATTTCTAGGTTAAAATATTTCAAAACAGAAAAATGTGAGCCGTCCCACAGACGATCTGTACCATTTGATAAAAGTAGGTCAAGAACTGCAGTGAACTCGATGAGAAATCCCTTAGCTTGCACTTGGAACCACCGCGGACATAAATAGTGTATATTCTGCAGAAAAAATCGTTTTGTAACGCATGGAACTATTTCAACACAATGAATCCGCAGCCAAACAAACAAAAAGGTCTCTGACCCACTTTTTGGTCATGACCCACCACTTAATAAAAACTGCAACAGAGCAAAACTAAGGTAAACATCTTTATATGCTGTATGTAGGACAAACACATAAAATAATAAAAATATTCTCTGTTTTTAATCCTTTGTTGTTGTGTCCCAAACTGCCCTATGAGGCAGCTGGGAATTTTACTGGTGATTTTCACAGGAGGCTGTGTTTGTGTGACACGTGAAGCAGTGCAGATATTGATGGAAAGCCCCCTTTGTTTCACCTCCACTTCTTCATCTTCTGTGTTAGTCAGTTTGAGTTTCCTTTGTTCCTAGAAAACTGGGTAATTGCCTCCCATCGCTCTCAGCAGAAAGGCAGTCTCCTGTGCTGCTGTTGAACATGCGCATGTGTTGCAGTTGTGCAAGAACCGATGTGTGTCCTCATGCTTGCGTGCACCTGTGTCCTTGTGTGTGCAGGCTACGGCCAGTGGAGAGACGAGGTTTCTGGTAAGGGAAGCGACTTCTTTTCCTCTGAAGTCTCCTCTTCCTTTGATGTGGGCCACCCTAATTGTCATCTGCAGCTCAGAGATGACCACAACCCTCACACACTTCCGCTTCCACCTGCCTCTGGAGAGCATTAGTTCTCTGAAGCTCAGACCAAAAACCTTGTCCACTTGAGATAATCTGTTTGCCCATGCGTGAACAAAGGTGCACAAACCATTGAGACCTTTCTTGGTGTGTTTTGCCTGATGGTGGCAATGATCGTGCAGGATGTTTGTAATTTCAGATATGTAAATATCAGCTACAGCATTGTTTCCCAAAGACTGGGTCGTGACCCTCAGGTGGGTCGCAAGAGATTTTTTTTTGGGTCATCTTGCATCATGTTTCCCAGGATTTTACAAAAAATGGCTATTGACTTGGTTTGTGACTTTTAAAATATGGGTCCCCAGAAAAAGTTTGGGAAACACTGAACTAAAGTATCGTAGTAATAGCACAGGAGTAAAAATATTAACTCAACACAGTCACATACTTTACTTTTAGATGAAAAAACTGAAGTCGTAGACTTCTGTACCTGCCTCTGCACAGAAAGCTCTCCTTCCCATGTGTTGGTCTCAATGCTAGTGATTGTGCAAGCTGGCACTTAACTCAGCTGGTACAGTAGTAGTGAAAGGTCAGAGTCTGGAAACAGCATACGTCACAAGCATCACATAATATAAAAGTTTTTCACTTTTTCTAATTTTCTCTATCTGGTCTCCCTACACAACTGAACCATTTGATGTTTTTTTTTCTTCCCCCACGCATCTGTCACCCACACTTTTCTCCTTTCTACCTCTCTACAGTGTAGATGCCACACATCACTTCCTGTTAGTTATCTTTGTAGCTTCCCCATTTCTTTCTTCCCCATTCCGTGGCATCTTTGCTAACTTTAGATGTGTTGATGACTAATGCCCTGTGAAGCTCAGAACAGAAGGAGAGGAAAAAAAGGTTTCTGACAATATGGGATGCATTTAACTGCAAGTTTATTTTCCAAAAATAAAAAAAAAATAAAACTAGTACAATTCAAATTCATATTGCATTGTTTTGTCTGCATGTGTGAAAGAAACAACAATAGTCCATGTAAAAGTGTCACATACAGACAGCTGACACCAGAATTCGCAAGCAATGTCATCGCTTCCTCCAAGAACAACCTGACAGCTGTCCAAGTCCATCAAGTCCAAGCCCATCAAGTCCATTTCTGACAGCATTCTTCAGGACCAGCATCTTGCTTCTCTATTGATTATAGATTTAGCACCATACTTTCATTAGTCCTTTAACTTCTGTAGTCTTCCATGTCTTTCTCCAGTGCCTGTTATTGAAGGCTGTCCCTGGGTCACTGCATGTCCTCATTTCTTGCTCAGTCCAACTCCTTCACAGTGTCTATCAGACTCTCTGTACACTTGATGTGCACCTGGTCCACAGCTGACCTCCAAACTTTAACCTCTTCCACCGGGTAATCCAGAACCAAAGTGCTGACCCAAACAGAAGTGGAAGGGTTACACTGTTGCAGGGGAGGATTTACAACCGCAGCCTCTCAAATCCCTCAAAAAGTGAGGCAGAAGGGCTCAAAACCCCTTCTGGCTGAAGATCAGCTCCTTGACTTTCTTTTCACCATCATCAGCAGGTTGTGTGGGTTGTAGGTTCAGCGCTTTGGGAGAGTGATGCTGGGCACCCAGTCGTACACGCTGCGGCTCTCCTCGCAGAACAGAGACAGCTTGTCCAGAGCAGGATCCTTCCATGGGTTTGCACTGGGACTCTGTGATAAATAAATAAAAATAAAACACAAGGTTAGGTTCTGGCCACCAGACACAAGTTATGCAGACATGCTGTAATCACTAGGCTGCGTGAGCAACACAATCAGACAAAGCAGTGATACATGCATGATTCACTGCTCTGACTATTTCAGACGGGGTGGGAACTTACCGTGACAAGAATGCAGTGCGGGTCCTTGGGCTCGCCGGTTTCGTCTGCGCGCACGAGGTCTGCCAGGCGCTGCATGTCGCTGACGCGCACAACGTTGATGTCGTTCTCGAAGCAGAACGCCTGGATGAGGGTAAAGTGGATCTGGAGCGCGATGTCACACTCGTACTCCTCATCCGTGGCCAGGACGCAGAATGCAACGCTGTCTGGGTCACTGAGGGAGAGACGGTCAAATTAGGACTCTGTACTCTGCCATGTCTTTCCATTTGAGCGAATGAAAAATAATTACAAAGGTTAAAAAAAAAAAGAAAAAAAAATCACACAACACTTACACATTCATGACTTTGGCGGACTCGTAGACTCCAACTGTCAGGTAGTCCTGCTTCTTGGCGGCGACCAGCAGCTCTTCCAGCGCTTCGCCTGCACTTTGCACCCTTGACAAAGAAACGACACATCGTCAGCCCGGTGACACACACACACACACTCAGTGACATCCACAGACCAGGCAGCTCCAAAGACTCCAAACATACAAACATCCGAGCGTAAAAAAACACGTACCTGTCACTGTTTTCCGTCGTGTTGTCTTGTCTGTGAACCTCTTCCAGAGTCATAGTTATAATCCAAATGCTGTCGTGATCTTGCAGCAGTCTGTGCTCGCGGTGTGTGCATGAGTGTGTAAAGTCTATGTCCTTATTCTGAGCTCACAACAGGCTGTGGGTGTTTTTATAGCAGCTCCGCGGTGTTTCTCGGCAAGGGGCGGTCATTTTCTTTCCTGCCTCCCACCATTGGCTCAGAGTAGCCGAGGTAAGGAAAGCAAAAGTCCCCGAGCAGTTTACTCCGCTTGGAGACAACCCCACGTGGGGACAAGATTACAGCCTTTCAAGAAATCCACCCGGCCCCCACCGACTTACCGGTAGTGCGATGTCAACATCGCAACATGTACAAAACAAATTACACAAAGTCCATGTCCTGTTTACGATGGCCTTGAAGAGTCAAATATTAACACAACAGAGCTGGAATGAAGAGTGAGATTTGTGGGGAAAATGACAGTATGAGATGGTTATAATATAACAAGTTTAAAAAAAAGAAATAAAATAAAGAAAAATGTGATAATAAACTAAACTGTTGTTTTTTGTTTATCCTAAATAATCACTCTGACATTTATTTTTAAATGTTGCTACCCAAACACACTTGCAATCATTATTAGCTGAAATATGCACCCTGATCGTGATCCAATAATCTGTTTTAAAATACTGTTTTTTTTTTTTTAAAAAAATAGGTATTTCTAAAATAGACATGTCTTTCACAACAGGTTATCCTGGTATCATTCCAAGTTGTTCCAAGACTGGACTTTCCCATCCTGTGGGGGGATCCCTGTTGTGATATTAATAGTTTATTTTTAAATTCAAAACTTTCCCTGGAGTCTAGTCTTCCTGGTGCAGGTCTTTTGTGGGCGGAAGTGCACAGAGTTGTTAAATGAACTGTTAGCATCAGAATAAATTCCATTTCAATCGCTCAGAATTAGGAATGCCTGATATTGACTTTTCTTACCGATATTACATAATTGTGCTAATATCAGGCCAATATTGACGGTCGGCCGATATTATGGGACATCCCAGCTTGAAATAGCACAGTGTTAATATGATTGTTTCATTAAATACATATTTTACATTTGTATAGAAACCAGAACGGGAATATTGATAGTCATGATAGGATTGCATGGTGCACTGATCCTAGTTTGGGATCTTTTAATCAATCAACCAACTAGTCTATCAAACAAACAACCTAATCAGTCAGTTCGATCATTAATCCACCATGATCTTCCAGTCAAAAAGTTTCATTGACATTTAAATCTGCATCTGCCTTTTACTTACAGATGCCTTACCTAGAGGGCAGCAATAACAGGCGATAGATAAAGTAACAGCAATCATATGTAAACAATCACAACACACCATACAGAAACATACATAAAGAGTTTCGATGATGGACATGCATGAAAACAGTTCCACTGACCACATTGATGATTTCTGATAGCTTCAAGACCTTCTTGTAAAGGTCACAGGTCAACTATGTATTGCCTGCTTCAGTATTGACTTTTGACACCGGCATTTGTAAAGCCTGCCTGTGATCAAAGGTCATGTTTCTTTTTTTTAGTCAATCACTCAATCAATCTTAGTGTGTTTGTTTTTCAGCCTTTCTTTGTTTTGTATATTTGCATTAGCTTTAGCTTGTTTTGACCTGTTAATAACAACACAAAGTACAAGATATGTACAGGAATGGGAATACATAAGCTTTAATTTTTACATTTTAACGTTAGAGATCATTCTTGAAATATAGTGATAAATTGGTAAAAAATAATAATCCTGCAGCTCTTTTGTGTTTTTGTGCGTTGTTGGTATTGGTTGACCTTTGTCACCATTTGTGACCAATTTTTGTTTTTTTTTAATTAACACAACTGCCCTTTAATCACATATGGACAATTTGCATTGGGCAAAAGTGAACGTGTCCTACTTTTTAGCCCTCGTTGTAACCCCACAGCTCAGATTCTATTACAGAAGTTGGCAGCGGTTGGCCTTATTACTGGAATACAGCTCAGTTTGTTATACATATTGTTTGCAGTAACTGTTAATATAAAATGATCATATAATATTTGTTTAAAAGCAATTTAAATTGGCCAGGAGTTAATGATTAACCTAGTTAAAACAACTTTTAACCCTTGTAAGGTCCCCCGGGTCACCTAGACCCAATATGTCTGTGTGTGTGTGTGTGTGCGTGCGTGAGTATGTGTGCGTGTGCATGTTCCTGTACTGCATGACTTGTGCCAACTTTTCCTCATATTCATTAATACTCGTATTCTGGGACAAGATGAAAATCATTGCAAGGACAAACGGTGTGTACAAAAATGCGAAGGACCGCACAAGGGTTACATTTTCCGGAGCAGCTCATTCTGGTGCAAGGTCAAGCCACCAGTGTCATAAATCTGGACTCGCACTGTCACCTGCTGGTCACACATGGAGTGACAGTTACCCAACAAGTCAACACATGTAGGAAAAGCTGATGAGTCACGGTTCCGCTCTTGCGCTTGTGAGTCACCGAACAGTCCTGAATGCTCTTATTTCCCCACAACTCAGCTTACGCTTATGGTCAGACGGATGTTGTTTGCCAGCCGTGCAGCACAAATTGGAGTAGAAAAAACAGGTGGCCTCCTTTTTTGTTGTTGTAGAGGATTAAAAAGAATATACAGATTTAACCATTATAGATTCTGAGTTATGCATTCTTTTTTAAATAAACACAGAATAATGTTATAAATATAGTATTTATATATGTATATAGTATATATATAGTCTGTGTTATTTTTTCAAATCCAGTGCAATCCAGATTGGTGTTTAAATTACTGTGATGCATTTAGGAAACAGAAACTAACCCAAACCCAAACATTGTAAAATGTTTCTCAGGCGTCACCAACAGCTTGGACAATCTTATTATTATATCTTTGTCGAGCTGAGCTGTATTATGTTTATGTTATACAGTAAACCCTTGTTTTTCGCGGGGGTTACGTTCCAAAAAGAACCCGTGATAGGCAAAGTCCGTGAAGCAGAAATCTTTATTTTTTTTACAATTAAATACTCAGAAAAAGAAGAGAAAGAACGAACAAACCATTTTACAGTCTCAACCATTTGTTTCACAAATAAAGTAAAATAAAAGTACTTTAGAAACGTTTCAACAAATAACTTCTGTAATGTACTGTCAAATAATAATTTTAATCATCAACGTGAACAGAAGGCTTCAAATTGCGGAGATTAGCACCGCCCACCGTGAACGGGAGAAAATTAAAAATGATTATGAAAAAAATACAAATTACCTGTACAGTCGGACAAATAGTGACTCAGCTTTATTTCACTGCTCTTCAGACTGAGCCGCTGCATCCTGACTCCGCTCTGCAGTGTTTTCATTATGGGGTTTGATAAACTCGAAATTGCAAGAGAATTTGCACGTACGTAATGTCAATTTGGCAAGCTGTTTTACGTACGTGTACATATTAAACCGCAACGTTATTGGCGCACAGGTAGAGAAGAAGCGGAGTGACTTTTTAGCCAATCAGAATGCAGAACACAATGCACGATGCAAATCCGTGAAGTAGCGAAACCGTGAAAAGTAAACCGCGTTATAGCAAGGGATCACTGTATTATGTTTTCTCTAAGAGCAAAACTTTCAAAGGAATTGGCTATAAGGCTGTTTTTTCTGTCAAATTCTTAATATTTTGCTTGTAAAAAAAGTTATGTTAGCTACCACTTTGAATTTACATTCATAGGCTATTCACCAATCATGAAAACTAAGGCTGTACTTTAAGGGCTGTATGTAAAGTCAAAAAGTTCTAAGACAGAATTAAACACAGACGTGAGACATGTCTCTCAGGCATCTTTAACAGCTTTGACAAGTTTTTCATGATATCTTGGTCAAGCATTGAACACGTGTTGTAACACTTTAAAAATCATTGCAAACATCAGGCATCTATTTTTAACCAAAATTAAAAGGAACGCTATCAAAATTATTAACATTCAGCAATCGTTTTTTTTTAATATAACTCCAATTATTATTTAACTTAAAGAACATTCAAGAAGGAACTCATCGTCAGTCCTTAGACAAGACAAAGACGCCGGATGTGACTTGGTGACAAAGAAAATGTCAGTGCATCTGTTCAACAGGAGCAACACTTAAGTCTTGATTATAACAACAAAAGAAAACAGTTCCAGTACAATTTATGTTGCATTTATTACCAACAGGTCATGAAACATTAAAAAAATAACAAAAATGCCTCACTGACTAAACAGCTCATCACATTTTTGCATAAATGTTTACTGCAACAGTTAACTGAGTAAATGTATTTAACTCCTTAATCGGTCTACATGGATAATGATGGGGGTTTCTAACAGGGCTTAGACCAGCAGAATTACACTATGCGGGAGTTTGTTGGGGCAGGTTGGCTAACAACAGCTGAGGTTCAGTGTCTTGCTCTACATTTTAAAAAGACATTTTCTTTTGTTCTGTACATAATTGTCAGGAAACTTTCTCTGTTAGATAGGACTGTAAAAAATGCTGTTAGTTCATACCCCAGTTTCCTAACAAACAAAGAATTCAAATAAAGATCAAATAAAGAATCAAATACGAGATCTCAAAGTTTAAAAGTTTTACTTGCAAGCAAGGAGTGCAGAACAATGGTTACATTCAGAACTGCACTGAGGAACACCTCAGTGCTCAAAGCTTAAATATAGTTTTTTTACACACGCACACACTTCAATGGTTAGTACCTTGGCATTCCACACCCATGCGGTGTTGGTAAACACTGCTCCCAACAAGGATTCTCCACCAATAGGAGCTATGTGCATGTGCTGTAGTTAATCAAGTCAGATAAGACCATGCAGTTCGGATGTTTTTCTCTCTTTGTCTTTTGTTGGTCTTCCGCCTGTCTCCTTATTTTGGGCAAAGAAACCAGTTCTGTGTCCTGTCTCTATCTCCAAGTGTAACAGTCGGTACCATTCAGTGCTGTCTATATCATATTGTTATGTAATCCACCAGCATGCACACCTGTCTTCAGCACTTTCCCTTTTAGTACAGCACAATAACAGCATTCAAT